GGCCGCATTCGTGACCGCCAAAGATCATCTACCGTCGGTGCACGCTCTTCCGCAGCGTAGCCGGCACACTTCCTCCCCCCCTACTAGGCGAGCTCGCCTGATATACGGATCCCCGCTCTACGCCACATTTTCCCGGTCTGTTTTCAGGGAGACGAGCTGTCAAACACCGTCGATGACATGAAAGTCTCCTACGAACGCTCGTAGCGCTTCGGTGAGCCACGCACGCTCTTCAGCCAATTCAACGTCACAGTCAACACATCTTGGCATGTAGACATAGGTAGGACTTCGCGATCTTGATCTTACACGAGCCGAGTTTTGCACGCTCGCGTCGCGGACTTCCCCGCGAGCCGTCGGAACCGTTCAATGCGTTCTCAAGGGAAAGACTGGGCGTGCTGTGATGTACTACGCGTCCCTCTCGCTACCCCGTCAAGCGATCAATCCTGCCGGCACTTTACACCAACACGCATCTCGAGGGCCTGTGCAATCACTTGTGCGGTGACCATCAATGGTGTCTCATGCGCACGCGTCTGACACTGGCCAGCCGATTCCGACGAGGTAAGCTTTTTCGTATAGAGATGTGTATGTATTCCAGCTTGACACCCATACAGATACCTGTACAGACGGCATGAAGGGGAAGAAGGTTGAGAGTCTTTGTGCACCCCCGGTCTCAACGCTGCTCGCCGCCGTAAGTTGCTCTCGCAAAACACCCAGGCGCGCTAACTCTTGAACACCCCGACCGCGGAGCATGACGAGATCTGTGTTTTGTGCCCAGATGCATGTGTACGTTGTACGTTGGGGTTCTCTTCTTTGCACTCATGCAATAGACCACATGGTCGGCATATCCTTATCTATAGCTCGGCCTGTTCGGCCTAGCTTGTGGAAATTGACTACACTATCTACAAACTAGTCTGTGGCTACTCAATACCCATGCTACTCTGCGTTTCTTTTCCTCCTAGATGATTTGCTATAAAGCCCGTTGTCCAAAAGTTTCTACGCCCCTCCTGCACTGCCACGTCGACACCTGTCAGGGCGACAAATGAGTGAAGATGCCTGCTGATGTTTCCAGTAGCTTCGTATGCGAGAAGCATGTGCGTGGATCTAGATCCATTCGGGCTCACGAAATCCACTGCGACTGAGCTGGAATACAGTCCATCGACTACCCAAGAATATAATGTCTCAAAGAGCAAGCTCGCCAAGTCTTCGGCTGAAACCTGCCCTTCTCTATGGTGGCGGAAAAGAGCTCTTTTGAGGCTCGGAAGCCGGAGATGTTGGAGCAATATAGCCGAATTCCTTTCATCATAGCGAAAGGTGACGTCCAGTAGTCTCGGTAATTGCACTATGTGATCGCGATTGAGAGCGGAATCTTGATCAACCTCCGTATTCAAGGCCAGGGTGATGTCCAGGTCCTCTAGTAACTTGTTCTGAGACAAGAACCTAAGAAGATCACTCAATGATAGACGCTTGATGCTTTCGAACTTTGTGAGATTGATGGAGAGTCGTACAAGCTTCCCTGCCTCTAAGCGAGGTAGGTAAATATTGGTCAGGTATAGCTCGCGCATATTGCATAGGCCGTTGAATCCTTGTGTGTGACTGGTGCTGTGCGCTTCGGGGAGGGAGATACGGAGACCCCGCAACTGTGGAAGGGAGTCCGAGGAGAGAACCTGGAGCATCGAATCTATGACATCTGGAGCCATGTAGAAGCGAAAGTCGATATCGACGACTGACGAGCGAGGAATGAGGGCGAATAAGGCTGCCGCGTTTGCGTTCTCTAGGTGATCGTAGTTCAGAAGGAGATGGAGTGGTGCCTCCTGCGCAAGTGGTAGTAGTACACCCAGTGCAGCTTTGTGATGGAACCGGAAGATATCGCGCGCCCAAATGTCCGGCATATTGAATATGATGTTCCTCCAGGAACGACACACGCCACCCAACCTCAACCAGGACAAGGTCTTAGGGTTTCTACGTGCAGGACTATTGTTCGCATCATGCTTAAAGATCACGCATAGAATCTCTGGAGGAAGTTGGGAGACGGGAAGGCCGCGGTTCGTAACCGTGCGACAGCGAGCTAGCAGTCGAGAGCTACGCAGGCGAAAATCGTACGCAATCTCGCTCAAAAACCGGGAAGCCTCATCCAGCCGAAGCATAATATCTTCTGACGGAGATCCGTCCGAGAGTATCATGGACATTGACTCAGCGTCTACCTGTACAATGTTCTCGAAGTCGCGTACTAGTGGAACACGATCATGACGCTTGGACAAGATTGAAGTCGGAGAACTATGACGTCCAATTAGTGCCCATCTGCGTGGCATAGCACTGGAGAACGCATTTACCTATGGGAGCAGGAGGGTAGGAAAGTCGGAAACTCGTCCGACTGAAGACAATCTGCATGAGGTTGAGCGGCATTCATAAGCACCGACTCAGCGGCTTACTTACCATAGCGGTGGTGTTCTGGGATTCCATCATCCGAATCGTAGGGTCGTGCTGCCATGGTACAACAGAATGAGATGCGGGTGATGTTAGATGGTGAGAAGCAAGGAGCATCTCGAATGGTGGCATGCCCGAGCGGCAAGCGGCAAGTGCGCCAACTGCGCACGCACCGTGAGCCACAAGGATGATCCGCAGCGATTTCGCGTCCTCAGACCCGGCGCCGCGAACGGTCCAGAACCCGCGGCCGTAGCGCATTCGTGTGCATGACAGGAACGGTATTCAGCGCGCCTACCCCCGCCCGCGAACCACCATGTGGTGGGATGTCAGCCAGATTCTCGCTACACATTCGATATACTCAGAGGCTGCGAAAAAGGACTTTACAACGTGTGTTCCGCTCTCGCTTGACCGGTCTGCGAGGTACGGCCCTGAACGAAGCTGCGCGCGAGCCCATGCGAGCGACCGCGCGCTCGTCTTGGATGCGGAGATATGCTCGGAGACTCGACGTACGTTTTTACCACCTTCTTCAGCCAGACCCGCTGATGCTGGACTAGTACATGAGTCAATGCGCCTATCTAGTGACTGCCTAGATGCTCGGAGACTCGACGTACGTTTTTACCACCTTCTTCAGCCAGACCCGCTGATGCTGGACTAGTACATGAGTCAATGCGCCTATCTAGTGACTGCCTAGCGACAACTCGCCTCGTAAGATCCCGACAGGCCCTGCTCATAGACGTCAACGACCGAGCGTGCGTGCTCCTTCAACTGCCTGATCCCAGGTCTAACAAGGGCTCATTCGTGCAGACTTTGAGTCACACTGCGCGACATCGACGTCGTGGGTGATCAAGTCCATCAAGCTCGAGAGCGCAGAGAGTATCACGCTCTGCTCGGCGGATCCGCTCGAACCGCCAGTCGCAACCCCAAGTACGCCTCTCCCCTCGGCCCCTCGACTCTCGCTCAAACAAGGGCTAGGACCCTGCACGGGAAGGACAACGCGGGGGCTGCCGTAGGCACAGGTGCAACTTGACGCGTTATCTTAACAACTCGAGGGCCAACCTACGAGGGTCACCGATCCTCAATTACGCCTGATTCTTCCGGTTTTGTATTGTGCGTTGTCTTCGCATCCAGGGACATGCGTGCTCGGATACTAACCCATGTGCAGGCACCACTGAGCGCTGCCGCACCGCGTGTAGGCTCGAGTCTCGGCCCGGGGCCAGAACCCAGAACTTTGCAGTGTCGTTGCGAGCCTCGTGTCTGCCTATTGCCAATGGCTTCACGCGCGGCGCAGGCGAATTCGTGCGGCTAGGGCTACTGTCTTTTGGATTTCCCCTCATTGTACACCAGTCGTGCGCGCGCCAATTCTGCGAGTTTGCACATGTGTGATTATATGCGGGTGGGGCCATGCAGGGTTTCGCCCCATGCAGGCTCACCCCGAACCGCTCGCCGGTATGATAGCACGCGGGTACTCGTCAGCGTCTTGTACGCATTCTATTGTTGCCCGGCAAAAAATATATCATTTTACGGTACTTGGAAAAAATGCTATATTTTTGTTAGAACTTTTTTTGAAGATAAATACCGGATTTTTCGTCGAAAAAAGGCGCTGAAAAAATGTTATATTTCACGCAAACTTATATGCAAGTAAAATCCATCAAAATAATTTACCCATTTACTCAGAAAGAATGGCCCAGTAAAATGCCAGACTTTACGAGGCGGATAATGACAACTTGCATGGGTGCAAAAAGTAGTGCATAAAAGAGCCGTGATAGTCGGAGAAAAGAAGGAAGGAAAACTATATAGGTTATACTGGGAAAAGGTTGAGTAAAATATGAGCTTTTTTTAACCCCTTTTATCGCGTGGATAAGTGGGGGAAAACATGTAGTTTTATCTCGATCTAATTAAGCTTTTATTGGAAGGAAAGACGTCCATGTTGGCAGTG